CCCCGCCCCCTTCGGCTCCTCAATTCAGCTCCATTGGCTCCATTTCTTTTGACAAGAAAAACGAAGGGACGGTTGCATCTAGATCAAGGAAAGAAGATCCAAATTCTCATCTCCTCAACTATTGAAGATTTAAAGCTACTACAAGTTTGCTACATCGATTGGGGGATTCCGATATTCAATTTACTACAGTCAAAAGCTTCTGTCAAATTACTAGAGTCAAAAAATTTTTGACAAACCCTTTCAGCCAAGAAGGCCTCCATCAATTTATTACAACCAAGGGACCTCTTACAACTAAAGGTTAGCATTGTGGTTCATGTTCAAATCAACAATCGATCGCAAACAAAAGCTTTGTTTGCATACAATTGGTCACTGCAAGTTCCTTCTACAACTATAAGTCACCAAGCTTTTCCGATCGTGTTTGTGACAAGCTACAAATACAAGTTCGGGTTGTGTTTGTGATAAGAGAATCAGACCCATAAGGTATATCTAAGAATTTTTAAGTCAATTTATGAATACTTAGCCTTAAGGTGTTTAAGTTTTTTACCTTAGATTAATTGGTGAATCTTTTATACAAAATTAGTGGAATTCAATGGTGAGAAACAAAAATGCCTTAAATATGGGATGTATTGAGAGAAAATGAGAGTTAATACATGTTAGCACTCAATTTTTGCTCAGTTCCTTCACTCTACCTCCTTAAACCCTCTTTTTAAGATTCAAAACTTGAAAACAAAATCAAACCAACTTGAAACCTGTCAAAACCCAAAAAAAGAAAATCTCTTTTTAAGTGAAACCCCACAATTATGTGACCAAACTCTAAAGATCCACCTTTCATCAGTTTGACCCCCTCTCTAACAATTCCAATCTACATGATGCTTAAACCTTGATACCTCAAATCCCAATCTAATACATTCATTGCCTTAAGGATGCTAATATACGATCAACCCCCAAATTCCACCTAAAATCTATGGCGATCAACCTAAAAAATGTCAAGATTTTATTTTGATAACCTTAAACGAATAAAGATAGACAACCAAGATCAACCATTTCTTTATTAGATCAGAATTATCCACCTGACTCCTCACTTTAATCCGTGCCCACACACCAAATTTCATTCAAAAATTCCCTTGTTTGACCCTCCATAAATCCAAGATTCTGATTAAGCAAATTTTGTTGATTAGAGTATACTAGCCATAGATCTCCACCATCCAACCTTTGTCTAAACAATCAAATCTCACTGCTATGTCTAAAAGCCAAAAAAAAAAGAAAAACCTTAATGCGTCAAATTTCACGACTAAACTCCTCTATTTGATCATTAAAAAAGGTGAGATTCCATTTTAAGCATTCTCATTG